AATATATTATTCCAAAAATTTTACATTATTCACAAATTTTAATTATTCACAAAACATGTATAAATATATCCTCAAAATTTTAAAACGATTGATTCACTAGTTTTTTTTTTTTTTAATTCCCAAAAATCGCCTTTTTTTTGGCTGTCACACTAGGTGTGCACCTTAATATCGAATAAAAAAGACCAGTTAATATTTTGATTTGTGCTATAAATATAATTTTAAAAAATAAGATTTAGAAATTTCATATCCTTTTTATATATTGTAATAAAAAAAAATCATCAATAATTAATATACTATTTTAAAATAAATATTATTAATATCAGTCGCGTGTTGACTGTTCAACAAAAATAGGATTATATATATAGCACATAGAATGTGAATAATTCAAACAAAAAATATATATATATACACAGTGAATATATTTGAAACGTATGAAAAGCTATCCATCCTTCGCTTGTTTCCTGTTTTGCTTTTTTTTTTATCCACGTCGTTATTTTGACCACTATCTCTCATTCTCTCTCTCTCTCTCTCTCACTCATCCACTCTCTCTTTAGGTCAGGTTATTCGTCCTCGAGTGAGCTCGTCAAGTTCTCTAAGCGAAATGACACGAGTAGTATGACAAATGGCATGCGATTATGCGACAAGTCGGTTCGAGTATCCTACCGCGTGTAGTGCGGATACACCGTAGTTGTCATTTTCATGAACAACGAATTTAATAAGCATCCGTTATTCTTCACCACGAGGTATACTTTTCAATGTCTTTCATTCTTTCTTTCTTTTTCTATCTCTCCCAAATTATTTATGTCTTCTTTTTGTTTTCTTTTTTCTCTCTCTCTCTATCACCGTAATTTTTGTCCATTCTCTATTTATCTTTTTACAATTTGACTTTAAACATATATCAAAAAGATTCATTTTAAAATTCTTAACACAATGTAAGAATAAATTGTCTCTTCTATGGATTTGAATATTTCAAATGGATAGAATAATAATAATAAAAGAAAAAAAAAAGAAAATCAAATCGAACGATAGGTTTTAGAGAAATAGGAATAATATACGAAGATACGTATAAGCCCTTTTTACAGAATGAGTTTCTATAACACAGTCGGAGTCCACATACTTACTCGATCTACCAATGAAGTCAAAATAACCTTTAGAATATTCATGAA